AGTTGTTGGGGGTATTCCTGACAAACAGACAATGGGACAATGTGTAGATCTGATGACTTCTGCATCAGAGGCTGTGGTGACTGGAATAGGAAGGTGAGTTTTAGACACTATTAGCCTACTTAAGAAAATCATGACGGAGCACAAACAGGCAGAGTAAGATGAGTGGGCTGAGAGCAAACAGAGCGTAGAGAGAAGATGGGTCTGCTGAAAAGGCCTCTCTCCTGGTTGTTGAGTCAAGGAAACGTCCTCCTGCCGTCAGAGAGACGACCAGAGTCAGCTCTGAGCCTCAATGATAAATGCACCAACAGCTGGACTTTTCCACCGTCAGGACAATGTCGGAAGTATTTAGTGAAGTTGGTTTAAGACCGGATGGAATGGATCTGCTGGAACGTATTTAAAGTTCACATAGAAGAGCATTGGAAGAGAAAACTTTCATCAGCTTAACACCTTCACCTCATCCCCAAGTCTGAATGTGTACACTGCGCTCGTCGCATTTTTTGCACCGCACACACGGGCACCTTAAAAATAAACCCACCGGCACACGAAGCATGCGTTCATGCCATACCGTGTGTGTGTACAATTACAGAGGAAGTGAACCTTATTAAAGGTCAGAGGACACAGGGACATTCCTTGCAGTGTAGTGAGCGCTGCACGGGGGCAAGAAAAGAGCACGGTACAGTTTACGGAGGAGTGAGGAACGGTTGTTTCCACTCCTGTCAATGTTCTGCACATTTAAGATTTACTGGGGGTGTCTGTGGTGTATCAGAGTTTGAAGAAGAAGAACAGACAGTGAGAGAGCGTAACGGCCACATGAAGTCATGAGGCTGTGAAGTCAAGAAGGCAAGAGACAAGTGTTTTTCAGATTCAGTTTCTAATGGTTGCATAGAGACTCTGGGATTCACCCCAAATGAATCATCCACTTGTCAGCTCAGCACAAACAGAGGTGGTGATCATGTATGTGTCAGAACTTCTAAATGCTGTTTGTGGCTGAAGGAGAGCTCGTCCCAAAGCTCGCATAATTTGTAAACTGAAGGACAGGCGCGAGTTTGGAGTGAGTCACAGTTGACTGTCAGGAGCGATGGCTGCTCACCTTGTACTAATGCTGATAACAGAGCTGGAGGACAGATTGCTCTTTATTTTACTTGTTGTTGTGGTTGTAAATGACTGTTTTCCAAATGGGCACGTTGTGGGATTGTGGGTTTCTTGTATAAATGGGCTGAGGCAGGTTTAGACACCGATGTGGGGAGATCAAAGGAAACAAAAAAAAGAAAAGGGCGAGAAAAAGAAACAAGTCGTCCATCCATAAGCTGTAATTACTGCTGCAAGATGGAAAAACAGGTCGAACAAAACCTGCAAATCCTAAAAGTGCGCCTCACAAAGCCCTCATGATAAAAAGGATTGCTCTCCTTTTGACTTCACCTATGCAAGCACAGACTAAACAGGCCGCAAGTTGCATCCAGGAAAGAGTGAAATGCCAAACCCCTGAACGGCCTGGAGGCAGGTACATAGTTTTGCCCCATTAACTATGGAGTTCCTCTGCAAACGGATTCGAGGAAAGCATCAATGGCCTCTGCCGCTCGCTTTCTGCTCGGAGAATGGGATGCAAACATTCCCACATGTGGTGCACAGGGCAGTCACACGCATGGTCTGTCCAGGCATGCACACACATACAAACGCACAATACCCTGTGAGTGTGAAAGACGTGGACAGACTGTGATTGTTAGAAGGGCTCGAGCAACAAATGATGTTATTATCTCAAAGCACACTAGCTTGAATATTATTACCATATCAGTGGGAGACTTTGGCATTCTTGCCGTCCATAGCTGGGGACTTCATAGTGAGAAACGAGAAAGAGACGGCATTGTTCTGAATTTTTCTCATACATCTGACATTTTCTCTGTCAAACATGCAAAGTCCGGGTGAGAAAGTCAAGCAGCCGCTCTGGTATTTTTGCCATCCTCTGAATTCTCATCAGGAAATACCTGAGCATGTTTCTACAGAAGATCCCACAGGGCACTCCTCCGAGGCGCTAAGGTTTTCTTTTTTAGAATTAGCGTATAGGAGGCATACAAATGATCATGCAGAAACATGATGAGAGCAAGAGGATGGCTGTAATACAGGGTCACCATGGCAACCACACATAACAGCATGCACTCACCATGGCAACAGAGCTGGCAGGGGAATATAGCGGGAGACAGCGTTGGAGCTGGTGCCGGCCTCTGGCTGTTTGATTTGATACGTGCAGGCCAGCAGCTCAGCATCAGCAAGTAATTCACTCAGACTGAAACACGAACACCAATATATTACACTTGTGAATACTGACATGACAGGTACTTTACATTTACTCCAGTGAACCTTAAACTTAAAGCTCCGATGTGCAATGCTAAAGATGTCACTCATAGAGACAGACAATAGATTGTTTATACAGATGGACGATGCGTCTCCACTTCCTCTTACTGTACAAAAATAAAACCAAAATATCCTGGAGACCACCACCGCCAATTTAGGCTTATGACGTCATTTGGAGCCACCATATGCACAGTGGTGATGATTGGGTGGAATCTCAGTGTCGAGGTCTCGTTGATACGCACGTGCAACCATTCGTGAGTCAGTCTCAGCTGTCAATCATGATGATTCATCACATATTTATAGCATCAAATTACTAAAACGAAGCACTTGAACATGGTTTGTTTGAAAAGAACTGTCAAAAATGACAGAAACCATTTTTGACAAAAATTAATTTAACAGGTACTTTGACTTTTTAGTTAAGCCCATATCCTGCATCCACCAACATGGAGAAGGCAGCTTGTTTGTGACCTGTACTGCAGCCAGCCACCAGGGGGTGATCGAAAGGATTTGGCTTCACCTTTGGGGAGCTGCCATGTCGTCCATCTTCATGAGACAAACCGACAGAGAACAAACACCCAGATCTTCAGTTTCAGTTCACTAAACCCTGGAGTGTTTTAACATCTTAAAGATGTCTTTTATGTTTTTTTCTTTTTACTTATTTATTTTCGCAATAAGCCCTGACAAGGATAAAAATCCAAAACTCAGACTTTTCTTAAAATTATAGAAATGCATAAGGAGAAACAGACTGAGACGCTGTTGTAGCCACAGTAGCAGTGTGTCATGATATTCAGTTCAGTAGGCCTTGGTCAATACAGCCCCAGACAGATGATAAATAGCCCAACACGTCTGCTGATGCTCCAAGGCCACAGTCTCCTGTACTGTAAACAATAATGGTTTCCTTACCAGACCAGGAGAAATCCCCAGATCCTACATCATCATTCTTTTTCATGCAGTGAAATTTGTACACAGCGCTTTGAACAGAAAGACATTCTAACTCGCACATAAAATCTAAATGGTTTTCACGACCCATCGATGTATATATATATATATATATATACACTGTATGCCTACATTTTGAAATACATAACACTAATACCCCTCCAAAGCTCATAACATCACAATCATTGCCCCCAAATGAGGCGTGATTAACTCTGCACATTAAGCAGGCGCTTCACAAAAGAGTCTCCCAAATGAGGTTAGTTGTCAGTGAGTTTTTTTTGTCTTTAATCGTTGTCTTTAATTAAACACTGAAACACAAAGACACACAGATATTAATCACGAGGGTTTAAGCTGCTTTTCCATTCAGCAGCCATTAAAAGTTGCATCGCTTGACTGGATTCGACGTCAGCTGCAGAGTGAATGGAATCGTTCACCGTGTTCTCCATAGACCTCTTAGCAAAGAGAGAATATTTCTTCAGTGTCTGTGGGAGTTCAGATGAGATGTCAAGTGAAAGATAGATTGAAGCTCAGGGTGTCATTTCGTCCTTTTGTGTTTCAGGGAATAGTTGGCAAATCACATGGTTGTGAATCCTTTGACTTGAGGATGTGCATATTTTTCCCTACATTGATATTCAGCCACCCTGGAGCAAGATGATGCTGGAGCTGTCTGCTCCCTGGAATAATCAGAGCAGGGTGGGTGTGGCAGAGGCAAAGGGCTTCACTGGCAATAACAACAATGGATCTGAGTCAATGTCTCCATCTAGTGTCGAAAGGAAACCTGACATCATCAGGCAGACATTTTTCAGGCTGTTCATGGTCATGTTTAAAAAACAAACTCAAATTCATTGCAGAGTGGTTGCACTTAAATTTGGGTTTGCCTCATTTTAAGTGATGGTGTTGTAGAGAATTATTCAAACCTTTAAATAACCAGAAAGAATTGTGGTTAATATTATTTTATTATTATTTTAATGTCAACTGCATTTTCCTGAAACAAACATACAGTGTTATGTATATTTTCATCAAGATTTATAAAATGATTCATTGAGAATAATAATGAAGAAATTAGACCAAATTCTTGGATCTGCCCTCAGAGTGTAGAGTTAAAATGATTGTGCATGATGTCCACCTCACTTATTTTGGAAGCTTTATAATATAACTTTATGGATGCACATTTCCTTTTTCTCTTTGAGGAATCACAAAATTCCATCTGGCCGAGATTTGTTTGGAATACATAATTTTTTCCTAATCACAAAAAGGTCAAAAAAGCAGCACAGGTACACGCTTGTATGAATGCATGCAGGAATTCTTTTCAAAAGCCTAAAGAAAAAGGAGAGATGAATCTCAGACAAGTGAGACGGACGGTGAGAAAAGACAGACTACAGACTAATGCACAAACAAAACCAATTTCCTTTTTTTATAGACACCAGTTTCTGCCAGAAAAATCAAACTGATCTCAGGTGAGTGATAACAGAACGCTCAAAAGGAAATCCCATAATAAACCCTTCAAACAAAGGAAGCTGCTTTAGAGTTCAGAGCTAAATGCTGGAAAAAGAACAGGAGATGATATGACATTGCATTAAAGCTATTAGAATGTTACTTTGAATAATAGATTTTGGGGACGTGGGTGACACATTAGGCAACCGTAATAAACAGTATTCACAAATAGATAATTATTTTCTTAATAAATAAGTCCTACGCAAAGTAAATAATTAGTCATCAAGTTGATTTATTCCACAGATCAAATATAATTCTTTACATTTCATCAGAAAGTTGTCCATGCAACAACTCCCTCATCACATCCATAAACTATTATTTCACTCTCAAATATACATACACACAAATGACAGACTAATCTCAGTGGTCATATATTATCAATATTATTATGCACAAAATATAAAACTAGCATCTGCTTTTTGACATCAATACCTAGTGGCTGTATTACTTCTCTTGCACAAAACATTTCCACATGTATACACACAATGTAATAACTATGCAGTGCATAGTCTCCATATACTGTATGTCTCTTGTCATGATATTGCTTAATAAATATCATCAAATGTTTAAGACCAAGTTTCAGACGTGTGCTGGCAGAGAAAAGACTCGGCTAAGACGGAATAAATAAAACCTTGAGCAGTGTGTGAGTTTGTGTGTATGCATGAAAGATGAAAGCAAGCATGAAATGATAAAAGGAACAATCCAGGGTGTGAAACATGACCTGCACCTGAACGCCTGCACCCGTGTGTGTAAATGTGGATGTCGTTAACAGGGGAGGTCACTTCGGAGACCCTGAGATAGCCCATCTGACCCATATCCTGCTTAACACCCTCCGTCTGTCAGCAACAGTGTACTTGAAGAATAAAAGGTCAAATGGGCCAAAGCGGTGAGCTCTGAAAAAAATCGGGCTGCTGCAGTCGCTGTCAGTCAAACTGACTTGCTTTGTTAAAACGGCTAAAAGCAGGAAAGGGTTGAGACCTGCTGCCTCTATGAAACACTGCCAAAGTAAAGAAACAACAACTGAATGACAAAACCATGGTCAGATGTGTTGCTTTGGATTCTTTAACCCCAATTCATCAACTTGTAACCATCACCTCAGCACCTCCTAATGGAATTGAACATAAAGTTTTAGCAGGGGTCTGTTTTCACTCTCATCATCTTAGTGAAAGATGAAAATATATTCAAAACCTGATGATGACGAAAACGTATCAGATCATTGACTCAAAAACCTTGTGAGTCTTTGATCTTCTGTCGTACGTATCATCTCTGACAGGTTATCGGCGACTCAGACGTTGGTTACACAGTAGCCATTTTGGAAAATATAACGGCAGTACATGACAGTGGGTTATACAAAACTATTTCACATCGCCATAACTTTGTATCCGTGTGGACGGTGTGTGGAACTTCAGTTTGCCTCAGCATCCTCTGATATCCTCCACTGGACTGAGGACTGATGTGTCTGAGGTGTGACTGTGACGAGAAGCTCTCATCACTTTAGATTCTGTTTATGTTTCATAGGGATCCCCCTCGGAGCAAGAGGTCTAACTTCTCTGCCTTGAGCTATGATGCCTGTTTCACACACTGATGACCATCAGAAAGCTATGACACAAATGTCTCCCACTTTGTGCTTCACACTTCATTAATCGGCCTGTCAGGCTCAGTTCAGGTCGGGTCAGCCAAACACTGCCTGAGGGAGGCAGTGACACAGCAGATGATCTGTACAAATGTATTTTCTCTTCTCTCCTTTTCTTCTTCGTTCACTTTCATTCTGTCCGACATTTTCTCTCTGCTCTGTTTTGTCCTTCTCTGCTTTGGTTGATTCTCTTCCTGTTTTCTCAGTCTGTCCTCATTCACCTGTTTTTCTCATTGAGTGTGTTCTTGCTCTCAGTGCTGCAAGAGAAAGTTGGTTGCCATGTTGATGTCGTTGTTTGAAGCTCTCAGGGCCTCCAGGGCATCAGTCCTGGAAAAGCCCATTTCCACTAATCGTGCAACCTATGAGGCAAAAAAAAGAAACTAAGTGAGAGACGGGAGCAGCCGATCACCTGGGAATATGGTTCATATGGTTTCCCAGCACAAAGTAAAAATAAGGTGATAGAGGTAGAAATCTGTCTGTGTATTAAAAACCCATCCAGTTCATACAATATGATATAATATCTACACATTACAGTAAGTAACTGTGTTCTACCTATTGTTATCAAGGTAAAGAGATACAGACACACACAGACAAACACCCACCTGATCCTCTGCGACAGGCGAGTTGTCCAACAGTGGCGGCTGGGTTGACGGGTGTGTCTGGGCCTGAGGGTGGGGCTGCATTGGGGGTCTGTTCTGTCCTCTGTGTCTCAATGAGGGAAACAACCTGGTCCACTGTAACAACCCAGCCTGCACACACACAGACACCAAGGAAGCTTGATCAAGTATTTGCACACATGTAGAGATTGTGCATTTTACACAACTACAAATCCTGTAAAATTCACTGAGGTCAGGCTGTGCATACCAAGCAGTAACAAGTTGGTGTGTGCTGACGTACCTGTGGCTGGTGTGTTGTGTTCCTCCGGGCCTCATTGTACTGGGCCAGCAGTAGCTGCTGGTCCAGCATGTCCATCCTCTGCTGCCTCTGGATGTCCAGAGTGGCCCCCATCCCCAGAGGAGTCTCGCTGATTGGCTGGGAGCCTGCAAGACCAAAGGTAAAAACATTAATAACATATTAATAGAGCAGCAGACAAAAAAATACGTAAACGTGTAAAAGATCTGTTTAACACAATAGAGCGTCGAAGAGAGGTGTGTGTTTAAAAAGGATTCCTCCAGAGTTAGTGCCAGGATTCAAGATATTAATCTTTTGCTTGTGACAATACATCATATCTCAAACAGAAACATAGCAAATACCAAACCAACTCACTCTTAAAACTGTCTCAGATTCTCAGCACAGACTAATCACAGGAAAATACACTCTCTCACAACTGAGACTTTCAATGATGATGCAGGACATTTGAAATTAAAAAGACAGAAAGTTAATGTTTTACTTTGTAGGAATAAAGTGATGAGTGCATTCACATGAAAAACCACATCCCCAGAACGAATACTGCATGATTTCATTCCACTATTCAATTAAGACATTGCCGACCCATAAATTCCCTCCTTACAATGAACACAACTGATTTGTTTTGACAAGTAATTTCCTCTTTGTTAATAAGTGATGTCTAGGACATTGGGAGTATGAGCTGCTTTAGCTCATTAGCCTCAGTAAGTATAACAAATGTTTCACAAGACAAAGTGGAAAACTGGCTCAAGTTTACCAGAAGAGAACATCTTTAAAACAGATCCTCATTTCAACATTAGTTACTTGAAAAAACAAAAAGAGAATTAAAAATGACTCAGCAAATCAGTGTTCAAATGCCTAAAGTGGACATTATTATGTTAAAACTCCTCAGTTAGAAAGAGAAATAGACTACAACTGTGAATCAAGCCCTGCAACATTGGTTTGCAAAGCATTTGTGAATGTGATAACTGCAGGTTGGACTCACTTGAGAAGACTGGCTCCAAAATATACCGTCCAATACGAGACATCCAAGCGGGTACGAAGAGGATCTTTTGTAACCGGAGGATATTGGAGTAGAACAGCCCGCCTGAGATCTGGAAGGTACATTCGCAAAAGAATTTGCATTTAGTATGGAAATGGATGTACTGCATGAAATTTGCTGCAGGACACGATCTGGATAGATATATTAAGACCTCATTTAAGAAGGGCTGCAAAGAACAAATATTTTCATTATCGATCAATCTGCTAGTGTTTCTTCTTTAAAATGTCAATACATTCAAAAATGGCTCATCACAACTTCCAAATCCAATGGGACATGTTCAAATATCTGACAATATATCACCAGTCAATAATCTCCATCTTACAAATATATAAAACTGAGACAAACAGCAAAATAGAAAATATTTGACAAGGACCAAAGTGATAAACAGATAATCAGAAAAGATGCTGATAAGTTCTGTGTCTATCAACTGTTTAGTTAAACAAAAAATAGTTTTGAGAAAATCTTTTTATTCTGACACTGATAACAGGACTGAATGAGAAGTGTTAGCTCTTAGCCTCAACATGTAGAAACAAACAACACTACATCTCTGTAGAGCCCCCCCAGCACATTAATTCTCTGGCTGACACGAGAGCAGTTTAAATATTGGGGCAATTCCTAGATACCTAGTAAACAACAAGAGGAATTTGGCTACTCACCAGTCCGCTGAGAGCAAGAAGCCACATGAATGGGCTGGATGTCAACAGCTGGAGGAGAGAGTGCAAGAAAGAAACCATGAAGATCACAACTGGAGAAATTCTCAATAACTCAAAACAACACAAGAAGACAAAGCAATACAAATACACACTTGCTCACAGTAGAACATGGGCTTACCTGTAAGCCGACTATGTAGACCAGAGTCTTGTTGGTGATGTGAATGTGGCCCAGCACCTGAGTGACTGGCATCTTTGGGATCGACAGGTAGAAAGGCACAAACAGAGAGAAGACTGGAGCAAGCCTGTGAGAGGAGAAAAGGAAGAAGATGGAGATGACCAACACAGAGACGAACAAAAGAAAGAGCATTTCATACTTTAACTTCAAACTCGTCACTGTAATTATCAGATTGTGTGTCATGTTGCTTAATACACACCACAAATATAAAACAAACTGATGTTCAGTGGAACAAGTAGCATTTCAGGAAATCAAGGAAAGATAATGTTGGGTAAGGGTGTTGGGCCCTTGGAAGTATTTACTTTATAATATCACTTCCTCTGATTAATAACTTAATATTTCATTAAATCTTTTTATTTCGCTGCTTTTGTGGCATTTGATAGTATCCTACCATCACAGTCCACCACCATTTACATGCAATATACCCAATAGTGATGTAGGGAAGGGATTATGAAATTAAGAAAATGGATACCGCCTGAGGCTTACATGCTGATATGTGGAGGTGAAATAGGATTTTCTACATATATCACACATGATGTGTATATTTCCTTCGTACAATATAAACCGAACTGAATACAAGGCAGTTTATTCTGTGTTATGGAGGATCCTCAGTGGCCAAAAGAACAAAACGCTATTTACTTTACAGTTCTCCAGCACATTCATACTGCTTTAGAGATAATCTAAATCCATACTGAAACTAATGAAAATGCACATCACATGACCATTCAGCCAGTGTTAACAGGAAACAGACCCCAAAATAGGGTCAGAAGCTTTTCCAGAAGTCTCTGGAGTCTTGAAAACTCTGGACGAGTGTGGATGTAAGACAGAAAAGTAAGTATTAGTGGGGATGTAGTTTGTGGCTACTTAAGCGTCCAAGCTACTTACAGTCCTGCGGACAGTTCTTCCACTTCATAGTCAAATAGAAACTGAAAAGCCTGCACCAACAAGAAGTCCATCAGCGCAGACAAACACCACGTGCCAAACAGGAAGGACTGGAATTGAGAGATGCAACACATATGATGGTTAGAAAACTGCACACATGATTTCAACCATTTCATGGTTTATGAAGCAAGTCAGTGAGAACTGCGTTCTGCCAGATGAGGAAGTTAAAGTTACAGTGTGTAGAATTTTATGATATATAGAGTTCCAAACATGAAAAAGAACCTGTGGTCGCCTTTAATTGTCATAAAAACTCAAAAGGTGTTTAGTTTGTACGGTCTGGACTAATGTAAAAAAACACGGCGGCCTCCGCAGAGAGGGTCCCCTCGATGTAAATATAAAGTATTTAAATATAAAGGGCCTTTTCTGGGGTAAACAAAACTACAATTCATACAATTTAGATGAAATGAACTAGTGAAAACATCATGAGGATTATTCTACATTAAATTTCTGCCAATAGTTCCCTTTCACCTAAATCTTACACACTGGGCCTTCAAGTATTATCTTCTTGAAAAGAGGAAGTTGCCACACAGGTGAAACTTGTCTCTGACTGTGGCTTACACATTTAATCCTCTTACAAAAGTGTATTGCTTTAGTTCATGAAGGTAACTGTGTTCCGTGTATCCATGTACATTCACATTCATCAATTAGGAGATTTGGTACTCACAGCAAACTTCCTGGTGCCAAACCTCCTCTCAAAGATTCTGAAGTTGTAAATGAGCAGGCTGCTACAAAATGAGTCCTTCACGTCAACACAGACGAGCCGGCCACACAACAACCTCCACACCTGCAGCACAAAGGAGAGCAGAATTATACACACATGTTATAGATGCACAACATTATGACCATTGGAGATAAAAAAAAAAAGGTTTCAGAACTTTCAAACGCATTGCATGGTCTTCATCAGCATGGATCTAACTCAGGTGGCATTCCGTGGCCTACATAGTCAACTTTAGTCTTTAGACTTGTTTCGCTCTGGTGATCAGCACCTCAGATTAGAGGTAACACTGGTCATGGGATGATAACACAGTCAACATCATGACAAATGTGCAAACTTCATTCACTTAAACAGACCATGAGATACGGTTGAAAGCTCCACGTGGACCTCGAGTGAAAATTGCGTTATTTCCATGGTCAAGAATGAACTTTCAGTTTCAGTTATGAAACAATATGCCAGTGATATAGGTTTATGATTATTGGTGTCCAAAACAGATGCTGAAGACGTACCTGGTGCTGCTGCATGACAGCCTGTATGTTGTACACAAACATTTCCTGGTACTGAGGCAGCAGGGTGAGCATCACAGTCAGCCCATTGAGAACCAGCAGGAGGCCTTTAGACAGAGGAGCCATATCTACACACAACACCAGGAGTGAAAAGGTATTTAATATACTCAAGTACTGCCTTTAAATACTTATGTATGTACTTCACTTGTTTCTGTCCAAGTCACACCGACTGGTACTTCAAGATACTAATGAAAGAGCACGAATTAATGAATCAAGTGATGGAAATGAATGAAGGATTTGTATGATCATATAAATATCAAATTTGAATGTGAAAGGGTGCTGCTCTAATTTCATTTGATTAAATATTGTTTAATCTAAGATACTTTGTGGATTCTTGACTGGACAAAACAAACACGTGGCTCTAGCTAATCAATGTGGTGTTTCATATAGTTTCCATCAGTGATAATAATCTATTAAGCTACGTACAAGTACAATTTCCTGTTTGTGTTTACATATTTGAGAGCAGTGGTGTTTGTACTCAGTCAAGGATGTGAATACTTCCTCCACCACTAAAGAAAGAAGAGACACTGCCAGCTTTGACTTTATTATAATGGTAATATAACAAATGCAAGTCAGGAGTATTGATGGTGGATGACTTGGCTGGCGAGGAATTAGCTAACATTCAGTCGATAGCATTTCTATATGAAACATTTAGCTCTTCATAACACGAACACCTCCTCTGAGTGAAGCAGCGGATGTGGACAACAGATGTCGGGTTATTAATCACCTGACGGAAACTAAAACACACAAACGCAGCCTGGAGTCAATGAATGACGGGGCGCGATGCTAGCACCAGTTAGCCGAGCTAACCGGGTGGAAGTGACAGGAGCCGCGGGGAGAGGGCAGCGACAGCCCCGGCTCGGGCTTAACTCCGCAGCGGGGGATACTCACACAGGCCCCGGGAGCCGGTGGTGGTGAACATGGCGTCTGGAGGAGCCGCAGGGTCCAGACGAACACCGGGAACCACCGAGACCGAACGACGCTAACAGCGGAACACCGGAGTGAAGTTAGGGTGAGGGTCCATGCTGGGAGGGGAGGGAGAGAGGGAGGAGGAGGAGGGAGGAGGCGCTCTACGGGAGCCCGACAAAACCAAAACAGGCTGCTTCGCAATCTGCTATAATAACACCGGAGTTGACCTGAGGAGGGCGCTGTTGCTCTGTATTGTGGATGTAAAACATATTTTTGTTAAACTTCCATGAAGAACATATTTACATCCATGCATGGTCCCAGAGAAACAACAGAGAGTGTAGAATATCAATAATATATCCATTTAATACATTTCTAAACATGTGCAGCTGGATTATAAAAACATTCTCACCCTCTGTTCACTGATTTTAAGATCAGATAATCCTTTATTAGTCCCACAATGGGGAAATTAGCAATATTTCAGCAGCAAGAGTCAATAAGAGGCATGAGTGAGTAATAATTAGTAACATGCAATACTTAAGTGTTATGAATATACAAAATATGAATGGAATAAAGATAACATATACAGTGTAAAAACAAGAAACATATGTGCAGTGTGAGAATATGTACAGTGAATGGATTGAACCATTATATTGCACAGACAGAATTAATATTGCACAGTAAAGAGATTTAAACCTGAGTTAACAGTCCGTGATGGGTGCGTGTAGTTCTACTGGGAGCAGAGCTGGTTGTACCTCACCTTCAGATACTTGATGGTGAATCAGGAGCTGTGATGATATCCTGCAAGGGGATGGACTGGTTGTCCATCAGAGAGGACAGCTTCACCATCATTCTCCTCTGTCCCAGCACCTCCACTGGGTCAAGGGGGTATCCCAGGACCGAGCTGTCCCTCCTAATCAGTCTGCCCAGTCTTTAATTCACTGTGGAATTTGACTTAATTCTACAAATGTGTTTTCTAGATAGAATAACTTAAGCCCAAGATGAAAACTAATGATATAAATAACAAATTAAAAGAAATAAAATCTGTAGAGTGCACTCCACCAAGGGCCAACAATTCCCTTGAATTCAGTCAATTTGCATTACATTGCCCACACTCATATCAGTTCCCTATATATGCATTATTATTATTATTATTATTATTATTATTCCCATGGAAAATTGTGAACATGTTGAAAAATGGATGTCACAATTTGAAAGAAGGTTAAAAAAAAGGTGTTAAGCTTTGTGGAAATCTGTTTTTGTGTTATCTTGCAAACAAACAGATAGAGGTGAAACAATAATCTGCATTGTAAAACTACTAATCATCAAATGCCCAAGTTTAAGCAGCAACACTTAAGTTTTGGAAAAAGATTTGGCACAAAAGTAAACTTAAAACTGCCAGAAGTGGAAAATCTTCAATTTTGGTTCAATAAAATAAAATAAAACAGTATTTTATATTATGAGATTATAATAAGAGATGAATTAGTGTGTACATCACTTTAATGTTGCAGCTTGCAAAGGTTGGGCTAATTTCAATCACTTTGCATACTGCTGAGCACATAAAGAGACGTGCAGGGGGAGAGGGAGCGTCCAGAATCACCTGAATCTGAGGGAGCTGGTCTCACTGGATGCATTTAAAGTAGCCTCATTTCGAACGACTTGGAGACAGGCACATCTGGCTGTAGGTGTTTTGACTAATTCATTTTGTCCCTGTTTGATCCCTGATGTTTAGCACTCGTGAGGAATATTTGATGGATACTTTTTAATAAATCATGATTCTGTTCATTTAGATTTTTAATAGTTTTGTGCTTCATTTTAAACAGTATGAACATGTGCAACCCTGTTTAGTGTGATGTCTTGACCAGGGTGCTCTTAAAAATAAAATGACAGAAAAATTTAAAAAAGGAGAAATATATTAAGGAATTATCAATAGTTGTAGTATATTGATAAAATAACTCTTCTTTATTTGTTGTTTCGATGTTCTATTCTGTTTTGTGGTGGAGTAGAAGCGCAAAGTAATACTCAAGTAAGAGAGTCACTATTTTAAGCAAATCTGCAAAATGTATCGTGACAGATTCCACAGAAATGCATCCACACAGTGATGGGAGCAGGATCATCTCCATCTGCGGACTTTGTCTCCCTGGTGACCACCAACACGCCCAGGCTGGGAACCACTGATCTGACCCCCGCAGCTGGGTTTCAGCATCTTGCTCACAGATGTTTCAGCAGAGTTGGATGTTGGAGCTGGAGGATCCTCCTGATGATGGGGCCAGTCTCTTTATCCAGGACTCCACGCAGCTCGTGCCTCACACGCCTCAGACAGGGCATTTCCAGGCCCTGAAGCACCAGCATGTTTGACCTTCATGCTTGTCATCTATGACCATTTGCTCAGTGTGTGATATGTGTTTATGGGTTTGTTGGATGTATGCATACAAGCAGCACATGGAATGTTTCACCTCTTCAAGCCATGTGATCATCTTTCTGACAGAGTGCTAACTGTTAATTATCTTTGGGGCCTTGAGCAGGATGTGACTGCACAAAGTCTGGATTAATGACTTTTTCTTCTGGTGCTCTGGCCTCATGCACACAGTGTCATATCTTGTCAAGGTCCAGACTTCCTTTGCAGAGGCCCTGCTTTGTCTTACACTACAGGCTGCCAGTTTTATTCACATCAAACGCTGTGTGTACCTTTGAGCCCGGCGTTGATTGCTCCTGAGCCATTAGATCCGATGCTTATGTTACGTCCAAGTACATTTGAAAAGATATGGCGAACAGCTGTCTAATAGTGTTGCATTTCCCAATCATCCGCAGATGCAGTGGCGTGTTAGTTCCCATTGGTTAGTTCCCACCCATTAGGTCTATTTGGCTGCCGGTGGTCAGATGTGAGTGCAAAGCAGAGCTCAGGAACAGCTTGCTAATTGTGTTTCAGACCTTCTCTGTCACTGATGTAGGAGTGAGGTCTAAAAAGGTTGCTTTGCCCCTGTTCTCAATCAAAGATAATAAGATTAAACAGCGCGGAGATGTGTGTTTGCATGTGTGTGTGTGTGTTTGTGTGCTTACCAATAAAGAGACTCCAGATTTGGAGACAGCCTTGACTCCTGCTGTTTGCTTTGTTCATTAAGAGGAGATGAGCAGATGGTTTGCTGGTCTGTTGTGCGGTGCACACATGCGGACACACAAGCACACGCACACACACACATGCAAATACACATGCATGCATGCTAGGCCCTGTCACCTTAGCTTTATCCTCCATTTATCTTTTCCATTACACATCTCTCAGCAGGACAATGCCACTCTGTGAATTGTGAGTGATGTTTGTCCATATGTGTGTGTTTGGGTATGTGTGTGCATGAGAGAGAGAGAGAGAGAGAGAGAGTGTGTGTGTGTGGAGGAGTGGAGCATTGCTGAATGAAGTCACAAACCTTTTTAGTCAACACTGCCTGTGAGGTGGTCAAAAAGCTGATGACTCATTCACATGTTCATTTATGTGAATCATTGCTATTCACTTGTCAGACGCCCTGTATTCAGGAAGAATTGCTTGTAACAGAGGTATTGTTTCAGTCCTGCAACACAGCTTATCTGTCTATGTCCAGGAAATGGCACTCTGCACATTGAGACAGGGTAGAATGAGTTTTCGTCTTTTTTCTTTTGGCTAAACAAAGGGATTCAGAACAATGTGAAATATATTATTTGCGACTTAAGAAAACTTAATTTTGCTTTTCACTGAGCATCCTGAGGATCCACCTTCTCTCCTAGGGGAAATTATCTGCTTTAGATATGTTCACCAGCAATTTAATCATTGACCCCCGCACATCATTTATTACATATTCATCCTTTTGCCCTCTGCATTTGTTGAGGAGCACTCGGTGTGATGTTGCATGTCTGCAGCTACACACTCTTTGTTTTGAGCAGTACTCAATTCAGTTTTGATGATTTCATTTATCTTATATATGAATAGTTTAGTTGTTTTTTTTAAGTTGAGCCACAATTGATTTTTTTACAGACATTTCAATGATTTAATCCTAAAGGTGCCATAAGATATTATTCATTCTTTAAATTAGATAGTTTAATCTCCTGCTTTGCTAATATTTAATAGAAAATAACCACATTTCCTTACTGCAACTCTATTCTTTGTGTCTTTTTTATTTCCCTGCAAATTAACCATAAAAGTGAATCATTACCGACACAAGTTTTGCTTTTAAAGTTTTTCACTCCTCTCTATTCTGTAGGGATAAAATAATAAAAAATTGAGAGCAGCCACGGAGCTGTGCTGCATCGTCAACATGTTTCGCTAAAGGACATTTTACATGTGACCCTGCTCAGCACCTTCCTGTCCGTCCGTCAATACTTACGTGCATGTTTTTGGAGATGGAGCAAGAATCAATGTCACACCACCACACTCCCTCATATATGTAAAGACATGCAAGCACACGGACCTCCCCCTCCTCCGTACGCACAACACAAATCTCAAGGGTTCACTGTATCACAGGATGCAGAACTATTTTTTTTTTTTGTGTCACAAGAAAGGATAAATAAATCAAACTATAAAGCCACATTCCATTGGGTCCAGCGGTGTGGTGTATTTCAGAGAAATCAATAAAGATTTCTATTCACATGAAAACAATTAAATAAATGAAACGTTGAGGAAAAAAAGGAAAGAAGCACTAACACAATTTAATAAAAAGGATTTGTATTGTTTGTATTGTCAAACTGCACTACTGCATAACATACACAATACAAGTCATTTACTGACTGTACACCATGCCATTGTCTTTTTTTGATGATAATAATAACAAAAATGATGACTATATATGTACACGACTCTGTTACAAGTAATACTCAGCACTTGTGTCCAGATAAACAGCACTGACAAAAAAACAACTATGGTCGTCTTCATCTAGGATCTAAAAACCTCGATCGAAAGAAACACAGTGAAACACATCATCAGAATAAAGTACTGTTCCCACTACGGCCAAGATTTGGTGATAACTGCAATAAATTAAAACGAGAGAACAATGGAAAAGTTCAAATGTCGCCGTTGAAATGTTGGGGAGTCAACGTGGATCTCAGATGCCACTGAGCATGCCTGTCGATTGTATGTCTCATAAAGGAGGAATTTCGTCACACTTCCATCCATCCATTCTTTCATCCTTTCATTCGTCCATTCATCCATCCATCCATTCCAACTTCAGTACATCCCAGTGGTCTGCAGGAACACTCTGCCCTCTGAAATTCACAAAAAAAATCCACATTAATAAAGCACCATTTAAATTCTTAACATTCAAACTTATGAAATCACATTTTAATTCAAAATTAAATGGGATCTTTCCTGATCCATACCACTTCCATTGAACAAGTTATGTGGTAATTTGTCCAGTAGTTTTTGCATAATCCTGCTCACTGACAAAAACAAACGCAGACGAAAACACAACCTCCTTGGTGGAGGTTCAACTAGGACAGTTTCATTTTGCAGTGACTGTAACAACAGGATGTAAAATGCAGTGTATAATTAATGAATTCATATAAATATTGAAGTAGACCATATAAAGCCATGTCCTTACTAAAAGATCATAATTTAGTAAAGTCTGAGTTGAAAATGTTTCGGCCCCTGATCCCTGTTTTTTGTTATAAAACTTCCTGGCACAAAGAGACCGCATCCTGCCCTGCTGTCTGACAGACAATTCCCCTTTAAATGATTTATTACTGGGTGTTAATTATGCAAATGATGTCCAAACAAACTCGTCACGAGGACAATTAAGACAGCCGTTAATTAGTGGCCAGTTTTCTTCTTGCTTCACTGACATTCAATTAAAAACTGCCTTTGAACAAGCACGCCGGCTCGTGTGGCGGTCCTGGCACGGCGTGGAGCAGAGGTGGGCTCGAGCGGCGCACTCTCCTGATGAGGTCGGGGTCCAGAGATCACAGCCCTTTCTTTTTCTGTCTGTTTAAGATGTTACACGTGAGAAATTCTTATTAATCTATCCCTGCGAGGACAATAACGTTGGCAAATATAAATATATTAAAACGCCAGACTCCATTAAAATGGTAGCCCAGATGAACTGCCTCACGCTTCATTTAATTTTGTTCAATTTGTCAGGAGCCGTCTCTGTGTGAAATCTTTGAAAACCCTTCCAGTAGACTGGTCAGTTAAGCATCAAAAGCCGAGAGGAGGTGAAATAATGAAATCTGTTGTCAGGAGCAAAATAAATCCCGACCAGCAGGTATATCACTGTTTATTTCACAATTCTTACATTGGAACTGAATCATTTACCAAACATGACAAGTCATGACTGTTCAAGACTGTTCATTACCCACAAACTTGGTGCAGTGCCTTTAGAAATACTTATACACATACCTTTGTCATACTGATCACAGGATCAGCTTTAAAAAACTTTTATGTTTTTACTTAATATGAACATTTATATTTTATGTATTAGGCCAAAAAAGGGGAAAAAAAGTGTTTGTAATTCTACAGAAAAAGAATTCTGAAGAAAGAATCACACAGACTTGGAGGAAAGTTCATTAATGGTCGACTTTTACGTCTGCATGATATTTAAAGGAAACTCTGGTGAACAGATTCTCTCCTTGATGCTTATTTCTTAATTTTCTATTTGATTTATTCCGTTATTTTATAATTTCTTCTAATCAAATTAAGACATATGTCTCATAAGATTCTGACTTAGTTTCATTTACAACTTTATTATTTGATGTTCAATATGGCCCTGATACACTGTCATAATATTTTCTGTTCTCAGGTGGCACATAATAAAAACCTATCTCTATATAAGAGTTGTTTGTTCTAAGTTTCCGTGTTTCAGCAGTGGCAGCAGCTTTTACTCAAACTGAGGAGGCCGTCTGTTATTTGCACACCTGTACCTTGTACTGTTGCCTTGGTGTCCAGCCTGTTGTCGGCGTGGTTGCTCCCATCCACGTCCTGGGTCACGGGTTCTGTGTGAGGAGGCACCGCCGATGATTGATGGCCTGTAGTTTGGTCATTAATTAATAAGGACACTTAATTAGAGGCTAATGAACAGTCAAGGCTATGTTGAACTGACGGCTTGGTGACATTTAATATGAAAATGAGGAACTGGCAACAAAAACGGAGTCAAAACAGAAATGTAATACATGAGAACTTTAAAAAAAAAAGTACCTGTGTGTGTGTTGGCAGTGTGCAGGAGGCTGTGCTCGGCCTGATCTCGGAGTTTGACCTCCTCCTCCAAAGCTTCCTGTAGTCTCCTCTTACTTCTCTTTTCCTTCTTCAGGCGCTTCTGGATCAGAACTAAACAGAGAAGAAGAAGAAGAAGAGAAGAAGAAGATGAAGGACAGATCACAGGATGTTGTTTTCTCTATAATATTTCAGTACATATCATCATTTCTGTCTGTTGCTGTGTTTTTGTCTCCTGACTTTCCTGCATCATAACATTAAGAGCTCTGAGGGACTTTCATGGTTTTGTTGCTGGGGTTTTAATGAGATTCAGTCAGTAAGTGTCAACTTATATATTTGACATGGCTGCGTTGACAGAGGCTGGTTGACAGGTTTTGTCAAAAACTGATTGAAAGCTTTTCCACACATGCAACAGGTTAACAGGATCATGTGACCAATTTTCATTGGAACCTTCTACCAACGTCTCCATCCCGTGTGACCTTATCAAGGAAACGACCTTTGACTGGCATTTGCTCTCACTGTGCTGTATTTGAAAGCAACACGCCAAACCTGATTTACTTTGGAGTATACTGCCAACCTCAGTCTAATTCACCTCTGCAGATGCTTTAAGGCGGTAATATACAGTAGGTGTCCACTCTTCCTGATCTGATTTTCAAGTTACTGGACGTCCCATCAGCTTAGAAGTGGATTAGACCAAACTGTTTTTGCTGTGCAGCAGAATTTCCAGTGTTAAGATGTAAAGATCTGCAAATTAGAATAATCTCCATGGGAAAATCTACAGATACTGTGCGGATTGCTACCTCTGTTTTTCTGTTCGATGCTAAGCTGCCGCTCTAAGGTTTCTCTTAGCTCCCGCTCTCGGACCAGCTCCAGCTTCAGCTCCGTCCTCTCCAGCTGGTCCTGCTTCTCCTGCGCCCGGGCGTTTTCTATGGCAACCCTCAGCAGACCCTGCTTGGAGACACACATGCAAACATCAACAGGTTACACACCGAACGAAAGCCAGGAGACTCAGAAAGTAATCACCTAATGTTGGGTAAATATTTATCTTTTAATGGCACTGAGTGCTTTTAAACTTTCAGGATTAAAATAGATTTAAATGAGCTGCAGTTATTTTAAGCAGAGAGGATGTAAAACAGCTCACTGTCAAAATACAAAGATCACAGTGAACTTATGTAATTAGCAGGAAAGCAATACTTTTCTCAATGAAATCAACACTGATCTTTTAACTCCATGTGAAAGACGGAACTGATATCACATCAGGAGCAAATGAGGTTAACAACGTGTTTTTTTTTCCTGTGTAAACCGAACCGGCGAGCGCATTCATTGTGACTCTGCCATAACAAAGACATGTAAAATCTGAGAAGCAGGTCAGCACACGCCCATTCCAATTACTGCATTTCTTAAATGTCTGCCTTGTCTGCTATTTACCATTTCAGGAAATCCCAAAGAGTGGCTCACCTCCCTCCCTATTCATCTCGGAGTATAATAGCGATAATAGAGCCCCGGCAGAGCCTCACCTGGATGTTCGTGAGCAGGGTCTCTATGGAGGACAGGCCTTCGGGGAAGATGAAGGGAGCGTGGTGGAGACCTGCTGGGAGCTTCTGTCCTGCAGGGTAAGATACCCTCTCACAGCCCTCCCTGCCTGATGGGGGTTTCTGGTAGACTTGTCTATCACAGCTCTCCCTTGTCGTCGGAGTGGCCATGGAGCTGTTATCTGGAGGGCATAGAGACAGTTTGATGTCTAGTCAGAAAGGCTAACACGATAATATGCAACAATATGTTAATCAAGGTTCAATGCAAATGTTTATAAATCACAGCTTACTAATGCATTTACTTAATTTCTTGTAAACATATCAAGCTCAAAATCAAATAGGTGTTTACACTAATTACTGTGTGTGCAAGTGCATGTACATTTACACAGAAGTCCTGGTTTGGGGTTTTGAAAATGTGGTTACCCTTTATTAGATGGCACTCTGCCTATTGATAATTCATCACAGCTTGACATCTCACATAAAACAGCTAAGAAGCTGCATTATGGATGACCATCTGTTTGTAAACCTGAGAACTGCCTGTTCCCGTTTGCTGACAGCGAGGGACTTGACGATTAGCCGTCTTTTCTACATTTTCCCCCCCTACATCAGTCTGTTGCTCGCTCTATACGTGTACTGTCATCCGAGCCACTGAGGACGGAGACGTCCTGGGAGTCCGGGGCTTATTGGAGCAGAGACGAGTGTGAACGTGCGATGTGATATCTGGCACTTTTCTCTGTCTGTGACAAATGACAGTGTTTTCTCCACTTAGCTGACCACAGCATCTTCTGCTCCAAATCCACCCACCTCCCCTTCTCCGCCTCGGCCACACGTCTTGGCAACTGTCACATTCAAGGTGTTTCACAGATGAGAAGCAATACCCGCAACCCCCCCTCCCGCCTCTCCTCCTTTCTCCCTCTTTCTTGCTAAAAGCATTGCTCTGTAGAGAAAGGTAATTAGCAGGTGCTGGCGAGCTCAGCGGAGGGCATCCAACTACACTCCTGTGGCTCACATACAGACACACACACACATTCATAGCCGCTGAAGTGCGCAGTCAGCAGCGTGGGCTCCCCAGGCTCCTTGGATGTGACTGATCCTTTATTGAGTTACTGTTTTACGCCTACTTTACCTCACACTCACACACACACGTTTGGCATAAATACACACACATACACACAACTGCCAGCTCGTTTGATCATTTACCCATCTCCGTAACCAAGGTCACTGTCTGTTTTTCTCTTTTCTCCCAACTTCATCTCTCTTTTCCCCCTCTCTTATCCCTCTCCCACCCGTCCCCAGGGCTAATGAACTTCACCACGTGAAGACTGCCAGTCAGCGGAAGAGAATGGGAGGGAGGGAAAGAGAGAGAGACAGAGATAGAATAAAATTCTGCTGATGTTTGGTTAATGGGAGTGAGGTGTCAGGGATGGCCTCTGATCTCTGCTGCATGGATACGTTGTTCAAAGACCACCGAAACAGCACACACAGCCAAAACCGACTTGCATACACACACACTCAGAGATTATCATACAATGGATTGACAGAATGACAGCGCTGGAGTGCTCTTTGAAACTCTGTTCAATCCATGATAAACCTGTCCTGTGATGTTCTAGGTCAAATACAAAAGCCTGCAATCCTGCAAATGTACATGTGTTTCATTTGCATGCAGGAAAATCAATTGAAAATCAATTGCATAAATGTGATGTGTGATGCATGGCATTCACGTTGTTGGTGCCATCACTGTTTTATCAATACGTTCACAGATACCTGACAGCATCTGAAACCTTACCTGGGAGGCCTTTGTGATTTTTAGATTCGATTACTGAATAATGTGATTCAGTATTAGAATACATTTACACAGGCGCGTGCACACACATACAAACTCTCGGTTCCTCTCCTGCTCCCTCTCGCTGGAGATTTCTGCTGACTGTTTGTCCTTGAGCAGTCCTCATTAAGCTAATGCAAACCTCCCTGACAGAGAGAACCAAACAACTGACGTTGCAGTGCCGTGGCAACGCGGGCCCTAACGACAGGGAGGCAGTCGTTATGCAGATGAGGTCCAGCTGAGAGCAAGGGAGGCCGCCTGGCTCGTTAGGCCACGGCCCGGCAAATGGCTCGCTAATGTAACACCGCTTCCTGGTCTAATGGAGCCCTGTTTTGCAGAATTATTTGTCTTTGCTCTCTGCGGGATGCCAGCGGGGCCACCAACGGTGAAGAGGAGAGGAGGAGGAGAGAAGGGGCGCGACGGTGAATCTTTATCGACCTGTTAGTGAGACATTTCGCTCTTGTTGAAACTGTTAGAAACCCTCCTGCTTGTAAATAAAGTGCTAAATAAACTGTCACACGGTTGCCACAAGTGTTAAAATCCACAGTGGGAATGATGACACAGATCGATGGACTGGATGGGAGCTGAATGCTTGTTGTATTATATTGACAAACTGCTCAAAGGGAATTGATTTACCAGAGAAATAATCATTACTTATCAATAAATGATTAATGACGGCAGACTCCAGAAATTCCCCTTAAAGACACAAGAACTTGACCTTTGAAGTCAAATCGATGCTGTCATTCAATAAATCTCTAATTTAATGCATATTTAAAAAGAGACTGAACACATGCAAATACAAGAATCTTGATTTAAATGTTATTTTTTAAAATAGTAAATATGAATCAGAGCTGGGTGAAGTTACACAAATACAACAATGCATCTCACCTCTGTCAGTGTGGCTCCTCTTGCTCTCCTTGCTGTATTCCACTGGAGTCACATCTGTCTCTCTGGATCCCTGCACCACACCAGGAGAGTGTCCTAACACACTATGAGTTGATGACAGGCCGTCATGGAGCGAGTCTGGAGAGGAGATATTAAAAGTCAAAAAGGCCATAAAGTCCTCACAGGTGTCATTGCAGTTAAATACTCCCCCATTTTTGTGAGGACACTACCTCGTAGAGCGTAGATGACACGTAAGTACGTACGTGTGGTTTCCGCGATACGTTCTGTGTGAGACGGGGAACTCGACACGCTGCTGCTGTGATTGGACGACATCTGGGCTTCCTCCAGTGAGGGAGAAGGCGAGGGGCTGTCACGCACTCGTTCCTGCAAAACAAAAAAAAATGATTACAGAGTGAAAATGTAACTTCTGTTCCAGGAGAAATAAACTACAAATCCTAATAATTCTTTAGAAATGTTTTTTATATATATATCACTAAGCGTTTCATATTTATGTCATCAGCCGCCTTCAAAAAACAAAATTCCCATAAGGCCCAGATGTTTGCGAGTTGAATCCATGAGCAAGTCGAGGGGTCGTATCTATAAGTAGATAGATAATAATCATCAAACTTAAGTTCATAAGTAACACAGCCCTAAAAAGATGGCAGATGTTTTCAGACTGAATATTTCCATTTCATTCGTTTAAACATTGATCATGTTTTCTCAACATAGACATTAAATTGAAGTAAAATGTGAAGAATGAACTCTGGATGAATCTTTGGTGAATTCAAGGTGAAAATACAGTCATCATAATAAATGTGTAATTTCAATGATCTCAATTATTTGAAGAAGATGTAATAATTTGTCATTTAATAGCATTGTGTTAATTCCACTTTAAAGTTTAATACTGAGATAGTAGTTACGCTTCTGTGAAAAGCAAAGCTAGAAGAATATTTTCTTAGACTTTAAAGACTAATGGTAAAATGCAAAATGCAATAGCTGCATTTTGGCTGAATAAAGTCACCTCCACATATCTTCCACACAATCATGTTCTTTGGGAAACATTAGGGTCTGGAAAGGTAATATGGTATTGTTTGGTTCTTACATTAGAATGTGGTGTTCCATTTCAAAAACACTCTTTAACTATCTCTGGAACCAGCCCAGTGTTTGAAAAACAATGGTCTGCATCGTTAAAATTACTTCCTGCCACTGATGAGGACACGATGTGATAAAATACATTGTGAGGAGTGACGTCTGCAACAGGAAATATAATTCCTCCAAACTTCCATTACTAAGTCTGAAGAGTGAAACCAGTAATACTGTTTTTGAGCAAAGTGACCAACTCGGCTATAAAGGTCACAGTTTCTGTCTGCAGGGAGGATATTTTAAAAAGTTTAAAAATAGATGTGGGACTGGCTTTAGGCCAAGGAACAAATGATGATATTCTGGTAGTGGTCCAGAACTTAGATAACCAACAGTGGACAATTTGTGGTTTTCAGGCCAACTATGGTTGTGAGAGAAACAGAAATTTGTTTCTGAAATAAACTATTAGATTCATTCATCTTGAAATTAAAGGGACTTTTGACATTACTTGAGATATTAAAAGCAGATGGAGTTTATGTCATTTAGTCGTGCATCTTGTTTTTCCAAATATCAATATTTAGAAATAACAGTTCTGTGTAATTAAAACTCTGATTTGCTTTACATGGACTCAGACAATTACAAACTGGTGGTGAGATCCACCCGGGGCTGATGGTCAGCGGGGTTCACCTTAATGACGGAGGTGGGAGCCCTGGCAGGGGGGTTGGCATGAAGATGTGCCACGTTGGCCATGCTGGCCAGCGTGCTCAATCGGTTCATCTGGCCCATCGCCATGGAAACGGAGGCAGGCGCCAGGCTGGCAGGGATCAGAGGATGTGACATCATCATGAAGGGCAACTGATCCAGAACTGAGGGAAAGAATAAAATAAAATAGAGTAAAACTACAGATAAAGCACAGTAAAGTACAGTAGAGACTATTGTTTGTCATAGGAAACAGGAGTTGTGTTTAAACACCTTCAAAGCTGCAGTTTCCATGCACTTAACATGAAAATCGTCTCTGTCTTTTTTCTTTTCTTTTTGTTTCCTTGCTTCAGTTGTATTTATCCATCACGCCTCCCTCTGCTCAGTCCTGTGGTGTGTACTGAACTAAAAGCCCACAGTGCCTCAGCTTCTCTGATGACACGACTGAAACTGGACGCTGGTATCATTCATCTGTGATGTCAGTATTACCTGGATGACTGCTCTGCCTCTACAGCCTGACTACATGATGTGTATGTGTGTGTGTGTGTGTGTGTGTGTGTGTGTGTGTGTGTGTGTGTGTGTGTGCATGTTGAGGATGCAGAGAAGGAGAGAGTGGAAAACGACGTGTGCAGGAGGAGAGATGATGAAAAGGCAGTAAAGTGGAAGAAGGCATGATTGAAAAAAAAAAACCTTGTCCTGCTCTTTAACATAACACAAAGTTGCTGTTGTGAAGGCTTTTCATGAATTATGCAAAAACACAAATTCAACCTAAGCCAACTAAACCATTTCCTTCAACTCTGTCGATAATCTGACTTGTTTTCAGTGATTCAAACCAAACTCTTTATTATATCGGGCCAATCTGTTGTTGGCTCTCCTGTCTTTAAGACAAATATCCACTATCTTTAAAGCAAATCCTTCCTCTCAAGTACACCCTAGTGGGTTGTTGCAGTCCCTCTATTCATGAAGCAAACAATCCTGTTGGGGGGGGCAGAAAATGACATAAATATTTATCATTTAATAAAAGGAAAAACAAAAACAAAAGAAACACAGGGAGGAAGTGGAACAAAAGAAGCTGATGGCAGTCCTGGTGCTGGGCCAGCAATGCACGCTGGGTAATTATAAACACAAAGGAAAAAATCTTGGACTCTATTCCGCACAATTGTCACAAATAATAGAAGGAGTGCATGGAAACAAAAAAAAGAGGCCGATCCAAAGAGGAGAGATGAAATGGAACAAATAAAGGAGAGAAAGGAAAGAAAAGAGAGAAAGAAGGGGAAAGAAAAGGCAAAGTCAGAAATAAAGAGTGAGGCGTTGACTTTACGAGTCGGGCTCGCCGGACATATGTGCTGGGCTTTGTGCATTTGGCAGATTAGTCTCTCACTTGCCCAGAGCAGAAACCAATCCAAACAAAAGATCTGTCTGAATGGAGCTAAATAACCAGATGCTCCGACAATCAACCAGCAGCCAAATATTAAACCTTGGTTAGAAACCAACACTCCACTTTTGTCACCCCCCATCCCCCACCCTCATAATTTCATTTTCATTCACCCTCCCTCTCCTTCTTGATTCTGTTTTTTCTCTCTCTCCCCTCCGCTCCCCGTGCCCTCCCATCACTCTCTCTTATGTTTCATTAAAAAACATCAAAAGTCAAAGTGCCTCTCTTATGTTTATCCAAACAAACCATTACTGTAAACAAACAGTTACTGTAAATTTCCCAGAAGATCTTGTTAAATGCAGAAATGGCTGCTCCCCTGCTCTTCCCTCGGCCCATAAGGTGTCACACTCAGCATTTGTGAGCGTGTGTGTAATCAGAGCTCAGCCTTTGTAGTGGTTAAAAGATCTGGTAGGGGTCTATCTTTCCCATAAGGCCGTGGGTGGCGGTATGGAAAAAAC